TTTTTTCTCCTCTCTTCCTCTCCTCTCTTCCTCTCTTTGTTCCTTCCTTTGGTAGCCCAGTTCTTGCTAGAAAGACACCAGCATCGTATCCTTGATCAGCATCTACACAACCTCAGGCGTTGTTGCAGAAGCCTCACCTTGTGCCTCCACACGGGCACAGCTGATAAAGCTCCAGAGGACGGTGGGGTGTGCATGCAGACGAAATGTGAAGTGCAAGTAGCTTTCTGTGAAGAGGGAGAGTTTTCACATCAGAATTGCCTCTGTGAAGTAGAAGAACAACTTGTGCTTTTTGTCCTGTAACCACGCTGTTAAATTATGCAGCACTGTGCTCCCCTTGATGAACGTCCTTAGTCTTTTGCAGGCACACAGGGAGTCCGCCACAGAGTCCTTTTTAAGGTGTTTTTTGAAGATGTCTCACATCTCTTGTCTTTTGTGTGCTCGTGTTTTATTTTAAAAGGATGGCGTCTGATTTCGTTTTTCGCTCCTGGTGCTGTCTTTATCTGGAGCTTTGCGTGTGTGACTCATTATCAAACCCTTGCGCTGCGCCTTGAAGAGCCAGAATGGAGCACGGCGCGGGCATTCATGGCAGTCTCTGCTCAAATAGCCAGAAGCCTCTGCTCAGAAAATCTTTTATAGGCAGAAGTTTCAGTTTCTTCATTGTGCGAGGGTGTTCTCACAGTATTGTTGTGTACACGGTCAAACCTGCAGATGCTTTTTTCCTGAGTGTTAAGTAATCTGCAATCCCCAGAACAGCTTCTGTGTGGTTCTCGTACTGTGGAGCGCACAAATTTCTACTTGAAGAGTCAAATCCGTTTGAATCCAGCTTAGCGTTTGATTGTGCTTGTGCAAAATTGTGCTGCCTTGGACTAAGCGCGCTCGCACTCTCTTGTTCCCTTATTAAATATAGTAAGTGATTCGAGTATGAAATTCTGTTTTTAAAAATATGATTGAATTCACACAAGGAAGCGTAATCATTTCTCCCTGGTAGCACCCATCTCACTTGTTCTGTGCAATTCCAGTTTGAGAATTAAACCTCAAAATGACATAGCAGAAATAAACCTCCACGGCCAACAATTTAAAGATCAGTTTTCCCAGAATCTGAACCCTGAGCAACTGAGTGCTGTAATCTCCCCTGCATCTGTGACAGCAATTCTTCTTTATCCTACTGGACAAAAAAAAATGGACCTTTTACATAATATTCCATGCTGCAGAAGCAATATGGAGCGGCTTGCGTTGTTCCTCCCTGGGGACTGGGGCACGTGTAGTTTGCAAGATCCTGTACAATGGCTGACGCTTGTGCTTGTGATAATTTTTCTTTGTTTGAGAGACTCTGTGCCTCTGAAACAAACCTTAGAAACTAAGGGAGAAAACCCAGTCATCTTTATTAGGAAATTGCCGTGAGAGAGAGACACGTAGCTGCAACATTATTTAATTTATCACAAATAATGGGAAACTGAATACTCAGGTCAGTGGGTGAATAAACACGCTGTACAGCTTCTGTTCAGTGCGCTGTTTGGACTTAAATTCCACTGCATAGCAAAAAAATAAAGCTAAATTATCTTTGAATGCTTGCACCATTTATTTACACGACCATGTGTATGGCAGTAATACACAGTGATGTCACACCGTGTGACATGTATCAAACGGAATGAGCACAGTTCCTTCTGCAGCTGCTTTGGAGATGAAATTATGGAGGTGTGAGTGCGTGCCAGACAAATTAATCACACAGACACTTACCAAAGATACTCTATATCTCTGTATTAATGTGGCAGCAAAGTTTTTTACAGCCATTTATCAGAGTCTTCCTTGGAGGAGAAGACGCGGGTGTTTTCCTGTCTTAAACCATGCAGCACTGCGGTATCTAAGGTTTTGTGGTGCTTCATCTGTCACTGAAACGAAGCCAGAGATGATCTCTGCTGTGTTGCATCGTTTATTTGCAGCAGTCAGGAGCTGGTCGTACCTGGACAAGGAGGCAGAAGATCCTGAGAGCCAGGGAGACTTCTTGAGGGCTCATTCGTTCTCTCCTGTGTCTTATGGGTGTCGGTGGCAGGAGAGGGTCTGGATTTGGTATCTGAGGTGCAAGTGACCCTTCTTGTTACCCTGACAGTGTTCCGTGGTGAGCTGAGGGCGGGGAGGGTACGGCAAGAAATGCAGGTGAGTATCTAGGTGTGGTGTCTGTTGTTGAGCTGGCCGGTATAGCTCGGGGAAAAAACAGGTGAGCTTTTGGACACCCAAAACCCTGAGTGGGAAGTGGCAGATTCCAAAGTTAAATACACATTTATAATAATTGCCTTGACCTTAACTAGGAGTGCATCGTCCTGAAGAAATGGTATGTAGGGCTGTGGGTGTTAAGTAGCAGCAGTGGAGAAGGTGAGAAAGGAAGGAGACGGATCACTCGCTGCCCGTGAAACGTGGGCAGGTCGGGAGACAGGGAATGGTGATGCACTGTCAAATGTGGCTCCAAGGCCGACACCTGTAGCATCCAGTTTAATTGCTAGGCCTCAGTTTTGGCCACGTTTTTATGGGTTTGAGAGGCCCAGAGGTAAGAGCAGCGGTTCTGTGACACGTTACTCCTCTGTGACTGGCTGGTATCATCTTGACGGCTCCTACAGCCGTTCCCAGCAGCAGAGCATCAAAGCCCTTGGCTCCTATAGTCGTGTTTTGGCAACTGCTTGATTAGGGTGAAACCAAATTGCTGTGTACCAGGCTGAACCCTCAAACTGTCGGTGGGAAGAAACACATGGTTGCCAGCTGGGGAAGAGCTGAATCACTCTCTTGCTTTTATGGGTGTCAGAAATCTGAGCTCTTTCCTAGACCTTTGGGTGCTTCAAGCCTCTAGCTTTTCTGCTGACCTGTGAAGGGTGTGAAGTATGCTAATCTGCTGAAATAAACAGTTGAAAAATATCTGTGTGCACCATAAAAGAAGACATTAAAGCCAGGTATCTCAAGAACAAATCCTGTTGCTTAATCTGACTAAAAAATACTCCAGAGCTCTTGCTGGTTTCTAGATGCCTGAAGAACAGAACAGTGTAACGCGACAACGACAAAAAGGTGTTTCTATTCATAATGGGTCTTCTCTGGAGCAAGTGTGAAAGGTTATAAAATGTTTAAAACCCTCGTAAGGTAATTTGAGTAGTTTTGTGTTAAGATTCAAAGTAATAGTGCAAACTTTCCCTAATGGTTGTGGGGTTTTTTTTTTTTTTTTTTTTTTTTTTTTTTTTTTTTCTTTTTAAGTCCCTACTTACAGAATGCAGCGTGTGACTCCCCTGGGGATTCTGTCACTTGTTCTGAACATCATGTGTGGAGCTTTGAATCTCATTCGAGGAGTTCACCTAGCAGAGTATTCGTTTCAGGTAACCCTGATTGAATTGAAACCTGGAAATGAGTCAAAGGCAGAGAGTTGTTTGGGTAACCAGGTTAAGGGTGGCTGTTCCGCTTCTGAGTAGAGCGCACATCTTTCCCCAAGAAGTGTTTTGTTTGTCCAGGGAATGTACAATTGATTGCTCACCCGCTAGACCTCATGTATTCTGTTGTGTATCACGGCACATTGCGCTTATTCTTTTCTAGGAAGGTTAAAATTCAGAGAAATACTTCAGTTTTGCCAGGCTGGATTTATTTTTTCTTCCGTTTTTGTATTTTTGTTCTAGATGCTTTTGTGTAAATTTTTTCGAACAAATGTGAGACTGTAAACAACTTTTTAAAAGGAAATAGAAAAATAAGTGTCCTGATTGTATGGCAGCACAGTTTTATTTAGCAGGAATTGACACAGAAGCCTCAGTTCTCGGTATCTTGTTCAATGATACTGATCTTGCTGGTTAACACTGTTACAGTCAATCAGCTGGGATGAGAGGCACTTGATGAAATGTAGGGTTCTAAAATATCAGGCAGCACTTGCTAAAAACTGTAGCTGACGTGGTTGCTTGTCACTTCTTTTAATCCAAACAGGAGGACCATGAAGGAATTGGAAATGTGATAGCTTTTTTTCTACCTTTTCTAGCCTGTGTTTTTCAGGTAAGTTAACTGTAAATAAGATCCTTTCTGATTATTTTTCTATCATAATATACAAGAGAAAACACCTTTCGGCTAAGCAGAGGACCAGTTTGGTGGTTTGTATCCTACCTAGGTGATTCCACCGAGCTGTGCCAGTGAAGTGGCACAAAACCAGTTAAAGGCACGATTGGGCAAGCTGCAGTTGCAAGCTTTTTCAGTGCTTTCGTGTTTTGACACACCAAACGGAGCTGAGCGTGATAAGTAAGTGCTGGCCCAAAGGTGGTTTGTTTCCCAAACACCGTGTCTGACGGTGGCAGACTCAGTGGTGGGCTTTTATAGCATAACCACCTTGAAAGACTAAGCAAATATAGGGTAGCAACATTCTTGAAAATGTTCTTATTTACCTTCAAAATTGCTTTTACTTTTTGAGACAAATGTGGTTCCTGATTTCCTTAGATTTATTTTTTTTTTCCTAATGGGTTATTTTCTCTGACCTTATGCAGAGGAGTTTGAATGAGGGAAATATTCTGTGCTCCGAACAGATTCGTCCTGAAACATCCCTTAAATGCCCAAGACAGTGGTCCACGTGAGAGCAATAAGTTGTTTGCAAAATCTTTGGGTTTTAGCCTGTACATTGCAGGAATCTGCTGTGGTTGGGTTACTAGTTGACAGCGGGAATAACGTGATGCCTACAATGCATTCCTTGCTTTGTACTGTTGTGTTTGGCTAATGGTTTGGGAACCACTGTCTGAAGACTTCTGTTTATTTATGGTATTTAAAACGTGCAGAGAGGCTATAATGTGTTATATTGTAATATAATGTATTACTATATGTGACGTAATAGGTAGGATTTAGTGTCTTTCGGCCTTCTTACACCTCTGCTCACAGCAGAGCTTTAAGATGGAGATACTAATTTGGATCTAAATACTCGATGCAAGTCATTTGTCGCAAAGAACAGCTCTGTCCTGCTTTTTTGCAGTTAGTACCTGAAGCTAGGGAAACTAAAGACAGAAGAGTTCTCTCTTGCCCTTTTGATCTGTAGCAGTCATCTTCGCAAAGTGCTTGTGCATAAATTCAGCTTGTGCATACATTGAGCTCAAACGTGAAGCGCTTTCTACAGGCTCAGCTCTGCTTGTGGCACCAGCACAGTTGGAAACTGTGGCCTTAAGTGAGAAAGCACGATCTGTTACCTCCTGAGTGAAAAAAGGAACTCTTCTGCCAACGCTTTGAGGTTTTCGTTTTCTCCTGTAAGGGCTGTTGCTCTACACACATGCTTAGCAAATGGATCCCACCTGTTCTTGGATTTAAAAAGAGCCCAAAACCCCAGCTAAACCTCTTAGCAGAAATGATAGTCTTTCTACCAAGTCCAGTCTAGAGCCTGAAGGCCTTCATTTATCCCAAGAACAAATACGGCAGAAGCAGATTTGGGTTTGCTCTTTTCCTGCTTCTGAGCCTTTGTCTTGCAAAAATCCTGGGGGGGGTTTTGAAAGCTGCCTCAGTTTTCAGGCTCCTTTGAATCCAGGCAGAGAGAGGCAGGAGGGACACCAGTTGTGCTGACAGACTTCTTGTGATATCTGTGCTTGCCCGGTGGGGTTTGGGTTGAGGCCACTACTCTGGCTCTCCTTGGAGGACCTTTGAGGGGCTGAAGGGAAGCTTGGAGCTTCTTGGTGATGGCTGCGGTGGCTGGCACGTGTGAGCAGCGTGGATGTGCCAGCAATTCCCAGCTGTGTCTCTTTGTCTGTATGGACGCAGTGTCATGCTAACATGTCTCTCTGGCCCTTTTGCAGTGTTACTTGTACCTCTTCTACAGCTCGGCGAGGAAGGTGAAGACATTCGTACTCTTCTTCTCCGTTTCTTTATGCAACATTTACCTGTACGGATTGCGGAACCTCTGGCAAATAGCCTTTCACATAGGAGTGGCATCTCTTGCTTCTTACCAGATACTGACAAGGCAACTTATGGAGAAACAACCTGACTGCGGAGTATGAAAAAGACTTTGGGTTTGCTACTCTATTACAACTCTTTTTTTTTTTTGGTATTAAACTGGCCAAAAATAGCTTGGAGTATTTTTAGAGGTTTGTGACAACGGTTGTTGCAAGGAGGATGTTTCAGAGCACCTTGAAATAAAGTAGGATGCTGTAATCATGTCAGACGTGCGGCGAGGCACGTAGCTGTGTTTAACGGGGCGTGTGGCGATCGCGCGTGGGGGATCTTGTCAGGCGTCGTCGACAGGTGGAGGTTCTCCTCACCATAACCAGGCTTTTGCTCCTTGGCTGATACCATCCAGAGAGCGTTTTGCCATTTGTCTTACTGGCTTTGTAACAGTTTGGCAGGTCAGTGTCTTGCCCTGCCAATGCCTCTGAAAATATTTGAATAGTAAAACGAAGGTAAAGTGGTGGGTGACGCTTTTGTCTGTAGAATTTGTTAAGCGTTAGGATTCTTGGTAAATGTAAGTAAAGGAGTTGTTTGCCATGATTAGATGAGTTCAATATCAGTGGGAAAAATGGGGAGGATGAGCTTCAGGGTAATTTTTCAGGTTTTGAAGGAAAGGAAAAACCTGTGTCTCTTTTAAAAACCATCAAGGCTATAAATATCTCCTGGCTAAACAGCGCATTGTAGTTGAGTACGTGCTCATTGGTTAATTGCAAATACGCTTGGGGCAGCATAAAAGAAACCAAGTGAATATAAGTGATCTTTCAGCTCAAGTGGCCTTTATTTCCTTGCTTAAGGTCACTCTTACTATAAGGGTAATTCCGTGTTTGCTTGGTCTGTAGGGATAATAAATCTTCCCAGCCTGCTTATGACAGGCCACTGACTCCTTCACCTTTTTTTTAAAAAAAATATGTACAGCTGGCGAGTAGAAAGCCATTCCCAGTAATGGAAAGCAAGAGCAGGTTCTCTTTATTCTATAAAACACCTTTAGTTAATGGTGGTGAGTTCTTACGCTGAGGTGAATTTATGAGTGTGCACTTTTGAAGAGAGTCCTCAAGAGCTGAAATCCTTAACCCCTGCTGCACTGGATGTTCTGGTCTGGAAGGCGTTGAGGGGCATATGGGCATTTTAGAACATACAGGAATGATTGAGGCTGTCTGTTTAAAAGAAAAATGCATAGCATTTTGGTGCAGCTGTCCTTGAAGGGTTGTAGAGATTCAAATGGAGATGTAGTGAACTGTAGGTCTGTTATTGTGCAAGTATGGTCCTAGATTTTCTGGTTTGTTTTTTTTTCTTAGGAAACGGTTTTCTGGTCACCTCATTTCTTCCACCAGCCATCTCTCACCAAAGATTTCTTTTCCTCGCATAGGCTCTGCCTCTAGTGGTTGCAAAGAGCTTGACATGATGCAGAGTTGTCTTCCTGAGTGTGCAGAAACGCTTAACAAAGTTACTTTCTTGCACCTCAGTGAATTTTCCTGAAATCTCATGATGGAAACGCGAGTTATCAGTGGACTGCTAGACCAGAAACCTGTGGTGCTGTACTTTGGAAGCACTTCTGTGAGGCAGCTGACAGCAGCAACAGCATCGATAGGCAGCCCGTTACAACCTGAGCAGCTTCTGGGACATCAAGAGACTTGTTGCCAGAGCTTTTTCCAGTAGCAAAATGAAGGTATTTCTCTTCCATCCCGTGTTAGCCCTTTACTGTAACCATAACGTAACGAAATCCTTTAAACTCTGAGGAATACTCTAGTAGGAATGACGGAGGAGTATTTTAGCCAGACAGCTAAGAAAACAGCTAGAGCTGTGTGTCATAAGGGAATACTCTTCTGTTATAAGGGAGTGGATTAAAATTGTTTGTCTGTCATTACCCCAGTTTTCTGCCGGAGCGTAGGTGGAGAACTGAAGCCGGAATTCAACCGTTGTCCTCAAGACACGCAGATAACCCCACAGCTGCAGGGGGTTTAACACCGGCAAAGCTTTCCGTTTCCGTGCTGTTCAGTCCTGCTTTTCCTTGGGGATACGACCCACCGCCCAGCTCCTGCCCCTTGAGCCTCGGGCTGGCTGAGGAGGACAAAAGAGCTTTGCTCTCTCTCCGCAGGCGTGGGTGAGGCCAGCCTGCTCTAGCCTAAGGCACGCGGAGCTTACAGCTGCGGCCTGGGGCCAGGGAACCGTTGCCTGCTTTTTATTTCTCCTCCTTCTGTCCAGCTGATGGGCAGAAACTGTAACGTTCCTGGTGCTTCCTGAGCATCTGGCTGCTGGCTTTAGGGCAAAACGAACACACCCCTGTGCCAGGTGATGTTAGCGGCAGCTCTGGCGCGAGAGGGGCAGAATGAGGCGTTTAGGTGGTTTGTGTAATTAATGTAATTGGGGTGGCTGAAGATCAAAATCAGCTTTTGTTTAATACTCTCTTTTTCCTGAAAATATTGCAGTAAAAGCAAACAAAACCAGCTGGTTCGGTTCTGCCTTCCGTGTAATTTTTTTTCTGTTCTTTGTGGGTTAGATGGAGGATGCGACTAGATCTTTTCTGCTGACTGACAGAGCTCTGCTTTGCTGTTGGTCTTAATCCCTTTGCAACCTTTTCCTTTCCCCCCTCCTAATACACATAAACCACGTTAAGGAATCGACGTGGATTAATAAGTGTGTGTTAGTGGCTGCGCGCTTGGTAGGCTGGGATTGTGATTCAGGGATGAGGCAGAGCACACGTAGTTTGACCTATTTTTTTCGTTGTTTTTTTTAATGTTAGTATTTTGAATGGCTTCTGTGTCTGGTAGTTTAAACTTTTTCTCCTGGTGAAACAGCAAGAGGAATAGAATAGTTTATCCCAGGGCTTTAAGATTTAATAAAAAAGAATGACTTGCAGTTTGAGTACATGAAATCTGACTCATAACGCAGGATTATGCCCGTGTTGAATCGAATCCCCAGGCGGGAATCCATCCCTTTTTGTTCGACTTTAAACTGTTTAATGTAGTTTGATTTGCATCTCCTTAATTCTGTCAGTTTTCAAGATAAGTCTTCTGGAAACTCTTTTCCTCACCCAGCAGCGCAACACAAGAAAATTGGTGAAGAATAAACTTCATTAATTTAAAGGTTTGCGGTGCTTAGTCACGTTATGAAGCTGATCATTTTCTGCAGTTGTTTTTTTTGCTTTCTCCCAAAGACCTGTTAAGTTTGTAGAAGGTGGGCTGGTACCTTTTTAGACATTTTTGCACTGTGTTAATAATCAAACCTGTGTAAATGTGTATAAAAGTAATTTTGCATGTATATGTATATATGTACATATATCTAATAAATGGCTTTTTTGTAATGGTTGTCTTCATTTATAGTTTGGAAGTAGCTGAGTGTATTAGAAACGAGGTAGATGAGCCATTTCATTTATGTACACATCCGTAGCGTTTCACGTGACAGGGTTCAAAACATTTCAGAGATCAGCTCAGTTCTTCTCTTTAACAAACAGCTTCAAAATCAGAGGGGTTTCAGGGGCTGGCGTAGGGGGTGCTGGGTTGCGCGTAGTCCCTTAGAGGAGGAAATATCTGTGCGAACTCAGCGTGGCTCGCTCCGAGGTGGCGTGCTGTGTCTGACCCCTGGGTGCACACGGGCTCTCTGTGGGCAGGGGATTTAGGTGCCGTTTTTGTTCAGTCACCTGCGCCCCGAGGAGCAACGGAGTCATCAGTTGAGCTGTATAAACGTGTTTATAAATATATTGTAGGGGGGCTACAAGAAAGCTGGAGAGGGACTTTTTACGAGGGCATGTCGTGATAGGATGAGGGGTAATGGCTTTAAACTGAAAAAGGGGAGATTTAGATGAGACGTTAGGAAGAAATCCTTCCCTGTGAGGGTGGTGAGGCACTGGAGCAGGTCACCCAGAGAGGCTGTGGCTGCCCCCTCCCTGGCAGTGCTCAAGGCCAGGCTGGACGGGGCTGGGAGCAACCTGGTGTGGTGGAAGGTGTCCCTGCAGGGCAGCTGGAACCAGACGAGCTTTAAGGTCCCTTCCAGCCCAAACACTTCTGTGATTCTGTATAGACACCTGCTTATCGAAGCGACGGATTGCAGTAGGCTGTGATACGATCTTTGTAGCTTTAACAGTCCTGTGCTTTGCTTTCAGAGACCGTGTTCTGTGGCTTTTCCCCACCCAGCTTGGCGTTTCGGAGTGTTGAAGTTTGTGAAGTAAGATGGGACACAGCCCCGCAGGTCCTTTTCCAGTTGCTTGGCAGTGGGCAGTGGAGATTTTGCAGATGGCTGCCAGAGTTTCGGCCTAGTCTCTTAATGGGACTAGGCCTGTTAGTCCTACCAGTCAGTCCCTGCTATGAGCTTTTTGGGGCTCGTTTCAGCCGCCTTTGATAAAGGCTCTGAGGACACCGTTCCATCAGGTTTTGTAGGAATGGATGACTTTATATGACAGAAAATGCAGCGTTCCCCCCCATCTGATTGCGGTGGGTTCAGGTGTGGATCCATGTGCTTTGGGAGAGGGATGCGTTCAGAGGCAGGATCACAGAGGGCCCTGCTCAATCCGGAACCAAAGAATCGGGTGAAAATCAAGAAGCTGGAAGAACTCAGGCTTGCCAAACTGCTGGTTTCTTCCCATTTTTCTGCTCCCTGGTCCTCCACAGGGACGATACCTGGGTGGCTGTAGCAGAAGCAAAACGTGACGGGTAAAGGGCTGGGTTCTTCGCTGGTTTCCACTGTGTAAAAAGCGAAACCTTCTCTAATATCTCAGGCTTATTCTCTATCCAGAAAGCACTTGTGGGTGAAGTGGATCTGGGAGAACTGCAAATTCTTCAGTGTTATTTTTCTGCTTTAAGGTTCTGTCCCGCTCCCTGCCTTGGCTTGGCCCTTCAGCCTTGCAGCTTGCTCGGGGGCTGGCTTGCGGCGCGGCACCGTCGCCAGCGGGTTTGCGAGAGCTGCAGCGCCGCAGCGCTCGAGAGAGGAGCCTGCGGGTGCCCCCGTCGTGAGGGGAGGCAGAACAGCGGGTTGTGCAGGCAGGAGGGGGTAATAAGCAAAAGCTGATGGCAGGGGAGGGGGGAGGGAGCTTTAT